AGGCTACAGCAAGAATAAAGAGGCGCTGTCACCTGCTGGTGTACCAGAAACTGGCGCAGTGTTAGGTGCAAGGCTGTACACTTGAGGAGCAGGCAACAGCCTCTGCTCTGTACTAGGAACTCTACCTCAAAACAGGTAAGTGGAGAGTGTAAATCAGAAGTGTACTGCCAACCACAGCCTAGCTAATGAAACCAGGATATGTCAGGCTCTGCCAGGAGAGAGGGAAGAAGCTGTCCCACTGAGTACATCCCAGTAAGATCTCACCTCAGACCTCCAGATCACGCTGTTTGCTTACATCCAAGAAATCAGTACTGGCCAGAGACTTACCGAGCTGTGAGCCAGGCTTTCCTGTGAGTCCACAAGCACCTACAGAGGCCCACCCCACAACAGACACATCACTGCATGCCCCCACTTCATACAACATTCAACACACAAGCCTGTGTTCCCCTGGAGAAGCAATGCTGGCAAGGCTGCCCACAGAGGAATTTGGTTTCTGAGAAGAGCAGATGACAGTAAGGCAGCCACACACACACAGAGGTGTCTGCAAGGGATCTGCGCACCACGGTGGCCCAGGGGTACCCCACTCCAGGGGACATGGCACCGCAGACCTGAGCCGGGCTGTCCCATCACACACTCACACTGCACTGTCATGGGGCACGCTAGTCCACCCGCTGCGGCTGGGAGGAATCCTCGGGAAGGCAGCCGAGCACTCCCGGCTCTGTGCAGGTTCCCCACCATGGACACGTGACCTGACTGAGCACCAGCACTACTGAAGTGCTGTTTAAGGAAGAGGAGAGGTGGGATTATTTACCAACAAACGGTCTGTATGAACAATGTTAAGGTTACATCTCGACTTATGTCTCAGCAGAGTTCAGCTAATATTAAATACTTGAAAGATGAGAAATAAGAAGTTACAGAAGAAGCAGGGGGCACTTCCAAGCAATACTCTGCAGCAGCACCTCAGGACAGGAGAGTCAAGTTACCTGGAGTCTCTGAACTTAATACTCCTCTGGTTTTCCAAAGCCTGACTTTGCATGAGCTGCACTGGCATTTTTGGGAAGCAGAACTGTTTCTCTGGCAGGTAGCAAGATGAACATTTGCACGCGGAAGCACTCCAGCCTTTGCGGGCCCTCCATTCCCTGTTTCGAGGGGTGCTAGCAGCAGGGCGACAGCCTTTTCCGATCACATCCCGCAGGACCGCTTGGGAACCATCTACAGAGAAGCACATGTGGCCTGTGTGCTGCGGCGCTGAACGAGGGCCAACAGCAGGGCCCCTGGAAGAGGAGCAGCATTGCTCAGAGCAACTGCTCTTCTCCAGCAGAAGCGGTTTGCCCGAGGGGTTCCCCGGCCACGCAGCCAGTGAGACAAATCACGGAGCTGCGCCAGGACCCCTCCCAGCAGGCAGCAGCGGGGAGCGCAGGGCCTCAGCTCGCACAGAACAAGCCCTTCGAAAGACTCGCGAGGCTGGGGAAGAGACGCCGCCTTCTCCAGCGCAGATGGGAAGCAAACCCCCGCTGCAGGGAGCTGGAGCAAGGGCTGTCAGTGGAGAAAGTTTCTTTTCGCTAGGCTGCTGCTGCCTTCCTCCTACGGGACGCCTGGAGTTACTCGGAAAGCCCGCGTGCTTCCTTTGTAGCGCTGGGCGGGCAGGGGCCGGCGGGTGGGCAGGCCGGCCGGCCGGGCAGTAGGCCAGAGCCC